GCTGATCGCATCCTTCTTTTATTTTCCCGTCCTATTTTATCATTGTTACACTTAATCACCACCGATGGATATGAATTGGAATAGACTCGGTGATCTTGTAATAATTCGCACATCTGCAGTTAAATCTACAGTTTTCGTATCGTCTCAGTATAAAAACCTTACGAAAATAATTACTCTATCGTAAAATCCGGCAATTCGCTTACGGCGCGTTACCATGTTACAGTTATAAGGATTCAAAGTAATCCCACTGCTCTTGGAGAAAAAACGCAAAAGCCGATCTCGGCCCTTAAAATGTAACAAATTACGCGATCATTCGATCGCCCTATCACGTCATCGAAATCCGCGCCCGGAAATCCGCGATCTGATCGATCGCGGTGCCAATGAACAAAGTACGCCCTTTTGTTCTTTTATCGTCAACGGATAATCACGTGCGACGAAATAACGAGCTGTGACAAGCGCGAGATAAATGTTGCGGCTTCAGAAGGCTACGGGAAATGCCCTCGGACAATCTGGATTAGTCTCGATGTGCAAACGCGATGGTGTAAACGATCAAGCTCGAAAAACCCCTATCAATTAATCCAGCAAGAACGAACAAACGCCTATGATGATGATAGTAATAGGATCCACTTTGGACTGCCATTTAGTTATTTGGTTTCTCGATGATACAAGAATGCGAAAAACGTCTCTAAAGGACGTCGGAAAAAAGAAATCGTTCAGACGTCTTTATCTGCATTATTATAAGTTTTTCTCATGTCCTTGGCACGAGTCGCAAGTGTGGAGAGCAACGGCGTTTGCACGGATTACAAACAGATATCTCAGATTAATCGGTAAGAACATATATTGTATATACGTAACTTTAGTAATTCTAATTTTAAATACGTGGTAAATTGCATGTACCGGTAGTATTTGTAAAGATCAATTAACTCATTGCTACTTCAAATTAATTGTTTTCTTATTCCGCCCCACAAAGAATGAATATATGAGTTATAGAATAAAAAATTTAAATGCACATCAGAGATACATAACATATTAGAGGATGGCGTGAGTTGTAGTGTCCAATGATTTATTGACCAATATTTTCTCCTGGAAAATACATGTAAACAAATTGCATGTACCGGTAGTATTTACCGGTAGATTTACAAAGATCGCGATTAACTCATTACTACTAAATTAATTTTATTCTTATTTTACTCTAAGAATAAATATATTATAGAATATGAAAAATTTAAATGGATATTAGAGATACATATTGAGAATGACGTAAGTTATAGTCTCACAAAGAAATCAACCACATGATTCATTGACCAATAGCTTCTTCTGAAAAATATAAACAAACTGTTCTTCGTAATCACAATATTGACCATTAATGACAATCTGCAAATTATTATATGCTCGTTCGTCTCGCTATGGATTCGTGTTATCTAATCTGGATTTTTAGTGCAACTGGTGATCTCAACGTGTACGAAACATGTACGAATGAATCTGCGGTACGCAGTATTAGATACACACGCGTAGATAATGCCTTATGCGATTTATTTTATCAATGTTTTGTTCTGTTCGAAGACCACTCGTGTGAAATACGAAACAAAATCGAGCCTTGCACTATGCCGTGTCTTCCGTCGTATATTCGACAAAGCTCCATGTTAATTGGTGCACACGCCTCCACTTCTGCTCCCTTAATTACGGTGAGCCCCCACCGATGAGGATCAGTTAATTGTTTGTCATAACGGAAATGCACTGTGTCTACTATCAAGAAATAACGACTCAATTCGTATTCGCGTTCACACGAGTCATCATCCCGACATCATCGCCACTCATCGCTGTCGCACTAATTACGTACTGACGTACTCGACATACAAGGGTGCACACATCCGCCGCAATCGTAACAAACCCCATCCTACTTTACATTTAATTGGTAAACTTAACTAGACTCTTCGTTCAAACGTACCGTACAAATATCTCGAACATAGAAGAAGTTCTAAGATTCATTGAAGCGTAAATCTCGTCTCTTGGATCACCTAGAAAGCTACTTCGTCGTGTCGTTGGACGAATAATTGTACAACCGCGCGCTCGCAGCGGTGAACTCGTCTTAACTAGAATATATTACGTAGGATACGCAGTGGCTAACATTGTGACAAAATCCAAATAACGATGTCTTTTGTAAGGGCAATGGCAGGGCAACGATTCGTGGTCTGCCGGGAAAGGCTCCTTCTCCTCCGGCTCTCGTTTTTCCATTGACGACTTCCGGCCCGAGTAACAATCATGTCGATCATCCACAATTATGACCCATAATTCTCGGACTGGCTGACTTCGGCCAGATTTTGGCTTCGACCATGCGTTAGAGTGGTGCAAAGGCCACCGCGTTCTCTTTCAATTTGTCTACCGTTGATCGGGTATCGAATCAGCACAGTAAAGGCTACCTCAGAGCACCTTCGACTCACATGGCTACAATTACACACCAGTGTGATTGAATATGTAAGAAACGTTGCTATCCTGATGGACCGGTGGTCCGTGCCAGCGTCTCGTCGATGAATTATTATTGTTGTTGACGTAATAAGAGGACTTCCTCATGCTTGTTGAGGAGGACATCATCGCGACGGTCTCGTAGTACCTGAGTTTGCCGCAGCACCGGCCGCTCTTCAGGATGGCGATGAAGCCGCGCCGGTACTTCTTGTTGAAGAAAGCGTAGAGGATCGGATTTATGCAGGAATTGCTGGCGCCCAGCCACTGGGCGATCGGCGTGGCGATCGGCAGAATTTCGTCCTCCCTCTCAGCCACGTCGCCACCCAGTTTGACTACAGCAAAGATCACGTAGAGAGGCAACCATGAGAGGACGAAGAGTATCACGACCACGACCAACATCTTGACCACCTTCACCTTCGACTTCTGCTGTATCCTCTCCATCTGAGCGTCCTTGGTATCGGTGGGTATATGCCTGCGCCACACCTTGATCCAGATGAGAATGTAGCAGAGAGATATGAGTATCATCGGTAACACGTAGCAAAGAATTAAATTGCCAATCAGAAAGAACAGTGAGCCGTCCTTAGGATGCGGCCACTTTTCCAGACAGAAACGTAAATCGGGATCATCGTCGTAGATGGAAACCAAGTCAAAAAATAGCAACCAGGGTGACGTCATTGTCAGAGCGATGAACCAGATTACGACGATTATCATGCGAGCTCGCCGCTTTGTGATTTGACATTTTAACGGCCACCAGATTGCCAAAAACCTGAAAAAGATAAACCGCATAAGTATTAATTATTATCATCATGTTGTTCGCCAATTTTAAAAATAAAATCGCGTAAAAATCGTTAAGTATAGTTTAAATGTTATAGCGTAAATAAATGATATTAGATATTTATATTTATACACTCATACAAATCGATTAAATTTAAATTGAGAATCCGCTTAAGAGAATTCATAAAATTTAAAATATATTCATCTGAAATAATTCTAAATATAATATATATATTTGTTTAAAATAATCAGAAATTTTCGAGATATAGATAAAACTATTACAAAAATTTATTTTTAAGCATTTAAGGCCGATTGTTTCATCTTCGGCTAAATTATGTGATAATTTATCTATATAATGGATAAGTAAGAGTATAAAAGAATAAGACAATAAAGAGTAAGAAAGAGCTGAGATTTATCAAAAGATAGAAACAACCCAGCCTTAAAAATTGCCTTTTTTAACGTATTAATTAATAGGATTTATTTAGTATACCAAAGATTCTTGGTCCAACACCTCGCGATAATCTCATTTTGTTGAAGTAGAAAAAGAATTTGTAAATACGCGCGGTTTTATCTCCCGTATGATTTATTAATGCAATAAGACTTCAAAAGAAATACATACGCAATAATTAGTGCAATAATACATCAGAAGAAGTATATGTATAATATAATAATTATTGAAATCAAGTAATGACTATTCCGCTATTAAATAATGATGAAAATATACTTCAAGCCTGTCGCAAAAAACAAGATTTTTAGTGTACAAGAAGGAAGTGATATCTTTGGATCAGACAAGGTTTCTAGTTATTAGCGACTATCTTATCAGCGATAAATTTGTACCCCCCTTTTACGCAAAATATAACTTGCGCGTTAGATAACCATTTAATTTATCGTACGAAGAATGCAGAATAGCTATTTTACAGGCACCAGGACAGGTTCGGTTGAGCCACGGACGCCTACGCGCGCGTAGAAAATCGCTGTCCCGTCGCGTACGGTCGTCGCCATTTTTAGACCTTACATACGGAATTGCCAACAAATAATCCGTTCGCTGTTTCGAAAGACACTCGCGCCCGTCACGCTTCGATGGGCATGCCGCGAGTTATATATGAGAATAGATACGAGTAACACGTCTTATATGACTCAAGAATTCTCATTTAGCGTCTGGATCGTTTAAGACAAGTTGGATTATTTCGAGAAAAATCTGTCGAGGCACGTTTTCGTTCCGATATCGATGGAGCTGATCACCTTCAAGTGAATGAACCAACCATTTATTAACATTCTAAGACAAGCCTTCTAAAACAAAAGACAATAAGTTCAGAAGTAATTATAGTTGCTATCATAAAAATGTCTTAGAAATTTTTCTACGACACACGAAGCTAATACTTGTATAGGTAAACATACGTGATGTGATGTAAGAGAAAAAAAGTAAGTATAACATTTTTTTAACTCTTATTATAAAGCCGATAATTATACTCTAAAAAATATGGATGGGAAATTAACACCATACAGTGGTTATATAATTCTCACCGTGTTATAGTATTGATATAAATAACAAGAGAATTATATAAACATCGCATAGTGTGTTAAATTCCCACACCCATTTTTCTTACAGCGCAATTATTGGTTCTATAATGACAGTTAATGTTATATTTATCCTTTTTACATTACATTACATATCTTGACGTATAAAAGTATTAGCTTCGTGTATCATGGAAAGATATTTCTATCTGTTTATATCAACACAGTGAAAATTATATAAACACTACCGTATTTTTTTAGAATGACTACAAATAGGGATGTGCTATCTCCGAATCAATTCGCCAAAAATCGATTTTTTTGCAAAAAGATGGCTTTAAAATAATTCTCTTTGTTAAAAAAAAAAAGCGATTTTTATAAAAAAAATTGATTAAAAATAGTTTTAATTAAAAAAATCAATTTTTTCTCATATAAAATATGTATTATATTAATATTGAAACAGGAAAAAAATAATGACATAATATGGGGAAGAGCAATTTATTCGTTAAATTCTAAAATCATATAAATGGACGTTCGCCCATATTTAACATGAGATAAAAACATAGTATAAAAATCGCATAAATCGCTATCAAAGTAGTTGGCGCGCGGACAATCGATTACGACTACGACGACAACGACTCACGACAACGATGACGATTCTTTCGTTTCAGAGTCTTACGACGATGAAGCACGTTCAGATTTGGAGGAGATCCGCGCGGGATAAAGCGCGCGCGTCTTTATGATGCAAAGAAGCTATAAAAGCGGGACACTCGTCGAGTCGCGCGAAAGGCGGGGGTATTTCTTTTTCCTCATTAATTAAATGGTCTCCGCCCACGGAGAAACGTCGAATACTATCTTTAATGAACGTTTCTCTCTCGCAACGCCCGTACAGACCGTACAGCTTCCGGATTCATTAAGTCGCCATTTTACCACTCACACCAACAGTCGCGGATTTTCCGCCTCCGCTATACCGCGATTACAAGCGCCGCCCTTCTCTCCGTGTTATCGGCATCATCGACTGCATCTTCGTCGTTGTAACCTTCAATTCAATGAATAAACTTTAAATACTTGTCGTCGTGACCTTCCATAAATCAATGCGTCCGATACCGATCTGCAAGCGTTCTCACGGAACGCCACGTCACTTCCGAGTGGCGGCGCGTGTACACCACACTTATCTCGATATGTATCATGTATAAACAACGAATCTCCCCCGAGTCTGATATCCACTCAACGACGAGGAGAAAAGTTGAAAAAAATAGCCAACGCGGAAATCTTGCCGAAGGCTGCCTATGGTCGCGCGGTGGGGCAAACACAATGAGACGTTCGCAATGATGATCCCGGAGACATGTATCTATATAAAGGGATCGATTTCCCGTAGTTGCAACTGCAGTACCGAACAGTGTTGTCCTGTGTGTTCTTTAACGGGGATAAAGCTGATAAAACGCTTAACATGTTCAAACTGGCAAGTATATACATCGTATACATTCGTGCGTGTTCGTTTGTCTACATCTATCTACAGTCACAGATTCACTTCCGGTCACGAGGATATTTCTACGACTTAGGCCAATATTTATAGACCGATATTTGTTCATGAAGATTCTTATATCTAAAAATCTTACTGACTGACGTCTTAAGATGTGAACCAGAGAGCGGTATTCATAGTTTGTTCTTTTTTTAAAATCGTCTTAAATAATGTCTTAATACAGCCTTCTGATTATGACATCTTAAGACTGTACTTAAGATAGTCTCAAATGTAAGACTGGACTAAAATATCGGCCAGAGAGCCGTACTAGAATCTCAAGATATTACTTAAGATGGTCTTGAAATAAAAATTGAAAATTATTATATAGAGCCCTCTATGGACGGTTTTATAGTTGATAGTTCTTATTTCAAGACTATCTTTAAGACGCTAATATGATGGCCCTCTGATTGGCTCGTGACTTCTTAAGAGTGTACTTAAGACGATCATGAATATTAGATCTGACTATGAATACCGGCCTATGAAATATTGGTCTGAAATAATGTCTTAAGATGTTAAAGAAATATAAAAGGAATAAAGAACAAGGAACAAGGATTAATAGATTTCAACCTATCGAATATATTCCTTATTTCTTATTCCTTTCATATCAGCCTTAGTTTCAAGCCTTAGTTTCAAGCATCGGTACGAAGTGTCCCGTTGTGTAAGATTTTTGAAAAATTTGTACATCAAAAGTGTCGTTAAAGCACAATCTTTAATGTTTAATATAAAGTTTTGTTCAGTGCATCAAATAAAATTCAAAATGAAATCCGAGTACTGGATACAATCTGCGCCAGCATTAACATTACGACTACAAAGTACTGTTCAATTTCGCTAATAAACGACAGAGCGCTTTAGCTTCATAAATTCGTCGAGTTCTCCCGAATCGAGAACGCTCAAACACTTCGCTTCATACGTAAAAGCGTTCACGATCGATCAATCCGTGTAATCCTTTTCAAAGCGGAATATCCGAAATGGAAAGAGGAAAACGTTATCGTGAAATTACAGTGCCGTCGAAATCGAAGTACCGCAGAAATGTTTTCGAAATTTTCGCGGGACGTCTGTGTTGAACGGATAATTGAATTACCATAAAAGAAGAAGAAAACTAAAAGCAGGGCGCTATCATCGCGGCTCGAGGAAAATAGAAAAAAAAAGAGATCGTTCTTGGCACGTGCGATCGTCCCGGTGATTAATTGGAGCGAGGTGATATCAAGCTCGCGATTGCAAAAAAACAGGCCGATCAGGCGTGTCGCCAAAGTCACCGGCGACGCTAAATGCGCCTCCCTTGCTCGCTCAAGCACACTCTCGACATTTTTCATAGTGCCTATAAAAACTAGGAGTCAGGAAACGACGGGGGGGGGAGGGGGAAGGGTGCCGGGCGTGCGATTTAAGTGACGTGTTTCGATTTCAAAATGTAATCATCCTTATTGCTTTCCAGATTCTAATGGCTATCGCGGTGGTAGCGGTCACATGCGCACCGATGCCAGAACCGGCACCAGCACCGGTAGCAGGTCCTCTACCGCCATTGCTGGCCCCTTACCCGGTGATTTACACCGCACCTTACGTGAAGGTGTACCCATACCAACCGGTTCCCTTGGCGTATAATCTTGGCTATAACGGCTATTATAATGGCTACTACAACAAGTTTCCAGGCTCGGCGTACACTTACTAACATCGATTCGTATTATCCAGACTATTCAGTGGATCGCCAGCACCATCGTGATTTCCTGGTATAACGCGACTCACCGCAACGCGCCAAATGATTCTGAATCGTGGAACGTTTCTAAAATAAAATATTCTCTTGTCGCAAACGCCGCAGTGTGCTCGACTATGACGATTTCCCTCTGCCTTCTCTCCTACCCGTCCTTTTTTCCAGCCGACATCCGTTAATACCACTTCGCGAAAGAGGATCTCTCGTCCGAGCTTTTGGCAGACTCCGCGCTATCGAGCGGCCCATCAATTTT